CTTTCTCTCTCTCTCTCTCTCTCTCTCTCTCTCTCTAGATCAAAACAACCCACAATCAGCTATCTCCATTGTCAATCATCAGGGTGAATGGTGGGGGTTTACAGGTGGTGTGCATCACATTCGAAGATATTGGATGCACAGCAAACCATGCAATGTTATACTTTAATTCTCAATGCTTTACAATTCTTGTGTATAATAATCTTTGAAGAGTTTTAATGCTCAAGATTTCAGTAGAAAATCAAAGTTTTATTATTCCACAAAAATTACAATTGTTGTAAGAGCAAATTTTCTTAGTCTCAGTGTAATACATCAAGAAACAATCGATCAAGGTTGCTGGTTTTCATGACAAGCCGGAAAAGTGTGACACAGCTGAGAGAGAGCCAAGGATTGAATATTTCCCAAATAAAAAACACAAAAAACTGCTTTACAAAAAATTCTTGTGGATAGGTTCTTTGAAGAGTTTCAATGCTCAAGATTTCAGTAGAAAATCAAAGTTGTATATTCCACAAAAATTACAATTCCACAAAAATTACAAATATTGTAAGAGCAAATTTTCTTAGTCAGTGTAATACATAATAAAGAAACAATCAATCAAGGTTGCTGGTTTTCATGACAAACCGGAAAAGTGTGACACAGCTGAGAGAGCCAAGGATTTGAATATTTCCCAAATAAAAAACATAACAAACTGCCAAAACTCAAAAAACATCACTTGGCGCGTCGGTTCTGAGGGGAACTTGCGCTTTACATATACCATAGATATTAGATTGATTTAAAAGATGGTTATGATGTTGGCGATTTTGATAATAAGAGTTGGGCAGCAGACGGAAGAAGCGCGACAGAGCTGAGCTGAGGATTTGAATATTTCCTGTATATCACCTTCAGCTTACTCTCGATGGCCACAGAATGGAATTCAGCCATGAGACTTGCACAATCCCTGAATCATATGAACAAATTAATTACCATAATCAGCTTATGTAAAAATAACCACCCTTTTTTCTTCTCTCTCTCCCTTCTCTCTCTGCAAACTGGATTTGTTTAAGTTTCTTCAAAACCAGTGATTTTTTAAAAAAATTTCAGAACCTGTAGTGACTTCTCCAGGCAAGCAAAAATCAGGAAAATTTTAGAAACAGTGAAATCAGGGAGGGAACTGCTTACTCTTGAATGTTTGGGGAGGTTAAAAACTTTTACTAACTAGGAGGGGGGGGGTTCTCCGATATTTTCGAAACCAGTGGGTCCACCACTTCAGGTTAAATGAATTTGACAGAGTTTCTTTGCAGGGAAACAGAAAACAGAGGGGGACCTTAACTTCTTCTACAAGGCCTTGCCAAAATATTATCTTAGAGAGAGAGAGAGAGAGAGAGCTTACTTCACTTGAGCTTCTGAAAGGCCTGTATGCAGGATGAGCGTCTGGGTCCAGAAGGGAGTCCTGTTAAGAGTGCAGCGAGCAGCATAAACAGCAGAGGCAGCCATCTTGGAAGGGCTGTATTTCGTCATGACATAATGCATCAAGCTCAGCTCGGCAAAGAAGAAAACTAGGTCCTCCATCTGCATGCCAAAGAGAAAAGAACTCAACACAGAGAGAGAAATTTGAGTCCCAGATTTGATAACACCCCATACAAAAACCAGCGGTAAGAGATAACGAGAAAGCGAACTGACAAACAAAAATGACACCATCCCACAAGAAAACCAGTAGAAACAGACAGTAAGAGGGAAATGGATAAAAGAATAGGGGAGGGGGCTCAACACGGTGAGAGAAACTAAGAGGACTTTGGCACTGCCCAAATGAAAACCAGCAACTGATTGTGTGAGAGAGAATATGGAAATACAAATTTCGAACCACACCACACAATAGAGAGACCAGGGGGGGGAGGGGTTGGCTTTCACACCTGTTTGTCAGATCCAGCAGCCTTCAGGAAGCGAGCGAGGAAAACATATGGTGTAGGGACTGTTAAGTTCCATTCAAGGTCATTCAGTATGTCTTTCTCCATAGCCAGGATCTGTTCTCTGCTGTATGCTTTGTCTGATATGCATACAAAGTCATTTATCTGCAAACATTTAACGAAAATCAGAAGATGTATGTAGTCAGAGAGAGAGAGAGAGAGAGAGAGAGAGAGAGAGAGAGAGAGAGAGAGAGAGAGAGAGAGAGAGAGAGAGAG